CTCTCTCTCTCTCTCTCTCTCTCTCTCTCTCTCTCTCTCTCTCCTCTCTCTCTCTCTCTCTCTCTCTCTCTCTCTCTCTTCTCTCTCTCTTCTCTCTCCTTCTCTTCTCTCTCTTCTCTCTCTCTCTCTCTCCTCTCTCTCTCTCTCTCTCTCATCTCTCCTCTCTCTCTCTCTCTCTCTCTCTCTCTCTTCTCTCTCTTCTCTCTCTCTCTCTCTCTCTCTCTCTCTCTCTCTCTCTCTCTCTTCTCTCTCTCTCTCTCTCTCTCTCTCTCTCTCTCTCTCTCTCTCTTCTCGTCTCTTCTCTCTCTCTTTCTCTCTCTCTTCTCTCTCTCTCTCTCTCTCTCTCTTCTCTCTCTCTCTCTCTAATCCTCTCTTCTCTCTCATTCTCTGTCTCTCTCTCTCTCTCCTCTCTCCTCTCTTTTCTCTCTCTCTCTCTCTCTCTCTCTCTCTCTCTCTCTCTCTCTCTCTCTCTCTCTCTCTCTCTCTCTCTCTCTCTCTCTCTCTCTCTCTCTTCTCCTCTCTCTCTCTCTCTCTCTCTCTCTCTCTCTCTCTCTTCTCTCTCTCTCTCTCTCTCTCTCTCTCTCTCTCTCTCTCTCTCTCTCTCTCTCTCTCTCTCTCTCCCGTCTCTCCTCTCTCTCTCTCTTCTCTCTCCTCCTCTCTCTCTCTCTCTCTCTCTCTCTCTCTCTCTCTCTCTTCTCTCTCTCTCTCTCTCTCTCTCTGTTTCTCTCTCCTCTCTCTTCGTGACAGCATGGAGTTTTATTTCCCATAATTGGTAAAGGGTATTTTCCTTTATAATTTGTAATTCAGGGGAGGTAAGATCAAGAGATTTATACTGAAAAAAATGTATATATATAACTCGTATACTAGATCATCAGGCTCCTTGTAAACACCAGTCTCTCTTTCTCTCTCTCTCTCTCTCTTTCATTTTTCCACTATCTTTCTCTCTCATTTTCTCCCACCTCTCTCTCCCACATAATGTATATATGTCTCTCTATCAGTCTGTCTGTTTGTACCTTGACATTGTACAAGGATTCGAGTACAATGTTGACATCAATGTTGACATCAAATTGAAAAAATGAGCCATACGTATTATAGACCAAATATATATAGAAGCTGTACAATATGTCTCTCTCTATAAAGAAAAAAAAATCATAAATGAAATAAAAATCCCAGTCACATAAAAAAAAAAAAAAATGTCGACAAGGAAGCCACGGATCAATGCTGTCAGGAATCCTTTGTATAATAGATTTACGGCTTCTAGTGTCTCTCTCCGAACCGGTACATATGGCTCCATGTCCGTAATGTAGCCATAAATCTAAGCTACCACGAAATTATGTTTTTTTCCTCTATACGTTTCTTTCTTTCTTTTGTTCTTCTATCAAAACCGTCCGTCTTCAACCCCCTCCCCCTCCTCCCCCCCCTCCCTCCTCCGCCTTCTTCTAAATCTCAAACCAGACTCGAATTCCACGAACAATTAAAACAAAAAAAAAAAAAAAAAAAAAAAAAAAAAAAAAAAAAAAAAAAAAAAAAACTGTATAATGAAATGTATAAACCATGAAGTCCCCCTCAAAGAAAGAAGAAAAAAACCCAGACGACATTTATAATTCAGCGGCGTCTTAATGAAATTCAGGACGATGGGGAAATCTTCGCGACCGACGTATCTCGCTTGAACAATTTGAACTGGGACAATTTTTTTTTTTTCATCGTTCTGCGCTCTTGTTCAACACTCAGTGGAGAAGGGGGTGTGGACAAGGAGGTATATGACCCCCGTCTGTGACCTCTGACCTTTCCATGACCCATTACGGCTGACGAGGCACTCTGATCTGCTATTAACTTTTTTTTTTTTTTATAAAAGGGCGTGGTGAAATGGGGTCACAAAATAGGTGTCCAAGAATATTGATATTATATTTTCTGGTTTATCTTCTCCTATCTCGAGATCTTCCTTTTATTCATAGTTCAGTCGTACATCAGACAAGACAGAGATAGACAGTGGTGGAGAGAGAGAAGGGAGGAAAAGAAAGAGAGAAAGGATGATGAAGAAAATGAGAAGAGAGAAGAGGAGAGAGAGAGGAGAGAGAGAGAGAGAGAGAGAGAGAGAGAGAGACAGACAGACAGACAGACAGAGATAGAAAGAGAGGGAAACAGAAAAAAAAAGAGAGAGCGTGTATGTATATGTACCTTCATACCCGTGCCTTCGCGCATCCATACGCGCTTACGTCCACACACGGACACACGTACGTACCCTTACCATCAGAACCGCCATGGAAATCACACATCCCTTTGTATCTCACCCAAAACCAAAGAGAAACGCATCGCATCACCCAAACTGAAACCAAACTAAGGCGCAGAGCAACTAACAGCCGTCCCCAATTGTAACAGTAACCCCCGGCACTTACTTCTCCAGACAATTTGTGAACTTCCGATGGCCTTGCCTCGGCGAAAGTCCTCGATCGCCTGCGTCCTCTGTCTCGCGGAATGCCTCTGTCTGCCTCTCATACATTGGCTGTGCTTGTTTGTTTGTTTGTTTGTTTTTTTTTGTCTTTCGGGTTGGGGGAGGGGGAGGTGTTTGGTTGTCTGTTTGAATATCTGTTTGTTTGTTTGTTTATCTTTTTCTTTGTTTCGGTCGCTCTTGCTGTTTCTTTCGCTCTCTCTCTTCTCTTCTTTCGCTCTCTCTTTCTCTCTGTCTGTCTTGTCTGTCTGTCTCTGTCTGTCTGTCTGTCTGTCTGATCTCTCTCTCTCTCTCTCTCTCTCTCTCTCTCTCTCTCTCTCTCTCTCTCTCTCTCTCTCTCTCTCTCTCTCTCTCCTCTCTTCTCTCTGTTTATTTGTTTCATATTTCCATATTCTTCGACAGTCAACCCGTCTGTTTTGCATGTATTTTATTTTTTTCTCTACATTCGCTCTGTGTGTGTGGTGTGTGCGTGCGTGCGTGCGTGCGTGTATGTATGTGTGTGTGTGTGTGTGTGTGTGTGCGTGCGTGTGTGTGTGTGTCCAAAATTAGTCTAAAACTCCATTGCTGTTCATTTTTCCTCGTCAGTTACATTTTCGCTTCGATTCTCTCCTTCTCCTGAAATTGGATAAATAACCCTCGTTTGTCTTGACTTCCGACAGACTAAGATCACCCTGTCAGCATTAAGAAGACCTGACAAGATCTCGAGGCCAAGAGTGTCATTGACAAAGCCTGAGTGAACGTAATCAAGAATATGAAAGTGAACTATAACAAGTGATCGGAAATGTTATTGAATCGCTTATGTTCGAAGTTTTTTTTTCAGGGGGGGGGGGGGTAGGGGTGGGGTGTTTTAGTTATTTACTTATTTATACTGTCATTACTACTATTATCATCATTAGTAATAATCCACTATTACTGCTAGTACTATTAAGACTACTACTATTACTACTACTCATACTACCACTGCTTATTACTAGTACTAACTAGTACTGCTGCTGCTGCTAACTAGTACTACTCTATTACTAGTCTCTGCTGCTGCTATTACTACTCCTAGTACTGGCTATACTTAATATTGCTATTACTAGTACTACTGACTAAAAATCTATCACATTATATCATTATGATTATTATATTTTGCTTCATCCAAGATAAAATGCCAAATGGAATATATAAATGTAATAACATTCCTTAAACCATTTTCCGTTTCAAGCTAAGTTCGTATTTCTCGAATTTCATTTCTTGCTATAAATATCCCAGTATCGGGATATTGAAGATTCTGTGTAATTTAACATTTTGCGATTTCGTGGTTGTCGGACACTGCCTTCGCAAATTATAGAGGGAAACGACATTACTTGAAAGCAGAAATAGCATTTACAAGATACATGGCTATTTTGACAAACGCAGATCTGTTTACTCATGCGCTCACGTGCAATCTCGCGCACACACACACACATACACACACACACTGCAACGGGAACAACGAAGGGAAGGACAAGAAAACACACGAATATGCATATTCGTGTGTTTTCTTGTTCTGTTGCAATCTGTTCGTCATGAATTCCACACACACACACACACACACACACAGAGAGAGAGAGAGAGAGAGAGAAGAGAGAGAGAGAGAGAGAGAGAAGAGAGAGAGAGAGAGAGAGAGAGAAGAGAGAGAGAGAGAGAGAGAGAGAGAGAGAGAGAGAGAGAGAGAGAGAGAGAGAGAGAGAGAGAGAGAGAGAGAAGACAGACAGACAGACAGAGACAGACAGACAGACAGACAACAGATAGCATAAACATCCAATCAGACACGCATATATATGATCATACACACACAGATCATCACACGTTTAACATGATCCCATTCAAAATGCCTGAATGCTATGTGATGCAACCAAAAACGGTATTAAACGTACCCACAGTCCTTCAATAGCATTACGCTGTAGAACACCAACGTAAAACATCTAAATCCCTCGACATGTAAAGGTTTAAAATCGTATTTGATTTCCCACATACGTTCAATGCTATTAAATCACTTTGACGCTACTACGGATCCTTTGATGCAGAATCCTGTAACAATTATAACGCATTGTATGAACGTATACACTACATTGATTACTCGGCTCTTTGTTGTTTAATTAACGCCATTCGAAATCAAGCATTAAAATGTCAGCTTCTATTGTCATGAGGGCAACGAATAACCCTGTAGGACAAAGGCATCGGGTGTCATTAATCCAAATATATATTGGGTATCATTACAAATATCTAATCATTTAGCGAAGGTCAAATGGGAATTAATTTTTTTTATCTGGTACACGTTATAGTTGCTGAAGGAAGGTCTGGGTATGTGGTCATTAGGTCTTTTTTTGTGGTCAGGGGAAGGCACACATTCTGATTAATCGTTTTTCTTCTAGGCTTTTTTATTTCTTTTCCTCTGTTTCTTCTTCTATTCTTTTTTTCTTCTTCTTTTCATTACCGTTATTATCCGTCTTGTTCTTCCTCTCCCTCTCCCTTCTTTTTCTTTCTTTCGTCCCCTTTTCTACTTTTTTGTTTTTTTTCTTTTTCT